TTTGGTAAATACCTGAAAAAATCTAAAATTGTGCCTGTGTCCTATATATATGGACCTAACTGTAAATAGCAATTTAATAAATGACCCTGTTGCCCACTGTTTAAAGGTGATTGTGAGCAATGTGTGTGCTGCTTAGCCTCAATCCACCTGTTGACTTCATCTCTGAAATGAAATTTCAGATACAGTTGATACAGTTATGGGGAGGACGGATGATAAGCATTACACACAGTATAAGAACATCATTAGCAAGTCAAGCAAATCTACGCACTCGACTTCATGTTTCACATGGGCAGACTTAACTGAAAAATATTTTACAGATATCAAAATTTATCATGAACATGGACAATAAAAAAAAAAATCCGAATTTGCACTTCTGTGTTGCAATAATGCATTAAAAAATGCACTACGGCAACGTACCTGCATTGTAGTGTGCCGCAATGCACAAAAATCACAGTAACAAAAATGAGTCATTTGTGATTCTGGTAACACTGGGATATGTAGCCAATCTATTCAAAATTAATGAGTTACCACAACACACTGCACATTAGCATGTAACAAAACACGCAGAAAGGATTAACCAGTGCTCTTTATGAACTTTTTGAACGAGTGATGTAATTTACTTTTTTGTTTTTGCTGAAATGAAATGGAGCACCTAGAATTCTAAGCACCTAAGGGCACTCAAAAAAATGAACTAACTCGGAGTTCAGGTCAAGATGTAAGTACAGAAGGACATTTATAAATCAAGTGTAGGCTTAAAATAATAGAGTTTTTTATGTTATATTTATTAAGACATACATTGCATACTTTTAACTACATTTATTAAATAAATACAACTTTATCAAAAAGCGCACCAATGCTAGGGTTTCAGGCCAGCTTGAGCCCTATTACAGTGCCTTGAAAAAGTATTCATATACTCTAGACATTTTTCATATTTGTTCATGTTCCAGCAAAAAACGTAAATGTATTTTAGTGGGATTTTATGTGATAGACCAACACAAAGTGGCACATAATTGTAAAGTGGAAGGAAACTAATAAATGATTTTCAAAAATGTTTTAAAAATAAATATCTGAAAAGTGTGGCGTGCATTTGTATTCAGCCCCCTTTACTCTGATGCCCTTAAGTAAAATTGAGTGGAACCAATTGCTTTCAGAAGTCACCAAAATATTAAATAGAGTCCACCTGTGTGTAATTTAATCTCAGTATAAATACAGCTGTTCTGTGAAACCCTGAAAGGCTTGTTAGAGAACATTAGTGAACAAACAGCATCATGAAGGCCAAGGAACACACCAAGCAGGTCAGAGATAAAGATGTGGAAAAGTGTAAAGCAGAGTTACAAAATCCCAAGCTTTGAACATTTCACGGAGCACTGTTCAATTCATCATACAAAAATGGAAAGAGTATGGCACAGCTGCAAACCTACCAAGACATGGCCGTCCACCTAAACTGACAGCCTGGGCAAGGAGAGCAATAATAAGAAAATCAGCCAAGAGGTCCAAGGTAACTCTGGAGGAGCAGGAGAGATTCACAGCTCAGGTGGGAGAATCTGTCCACAGGACAGCTATTAGTCATACACGCCACAAATCTGGTCTTTATGGAAGAGTGGCAAGAAGAAAGCCATTGCTGAAAGAAAGCCATAAAAAGTCACGTTTGCGAGAAGCCATGTGGGGGACACAACAAACATGAGGGGAAAAAAAAGCAAAACGCTATGTGTGGCGGAAAACTAACACTGCACATCACCCTGAACACACCATCCCCACTGTGAAACAAGGTGGTGGCAGCATCATGTTGTGGGGATGCTTTTCTTCAGTAAGGACAGGGAAGCTGGTCAGAGTTTATGTGAAGATGGATGGAGCCAAATACAGGGCAATCTTAGAAGAAAACTTGCTAGGGTCTGCAAAAGACTTGAGACTGGGGCAGAGGTTCACCTTCCAGCAGGATAACAACCCTAAACACACAGCCAGAGCTATACTGGAATGATTTAGATCAAAAGCATATTCATGTGTTCGAATGGCCCAGTCAAAGTCCAGACCTAAATCCAATTGAGAATCTGTTGCAAGACTTGAAAATTGCAAATCATAGACACTCTCCATCCAATCTGACAGAGCTTGAGCGAGCTAATTTGCAAAGAAGAATGGGCACAAATTTCACTCTTTAGATGTGCAAAGCTGGTAGAGACATCCCCAAAAAGACTTGCAGCTGTAATTGCAGCGAAAGGTGGTTCTAGAAAGTATTGACTCAGGGGGGCTGAATACAAATGCACGCCACACTTTTCAGATATTTGTAAAATATTTTGAAAACCATTTATCATTTTCCTTCCATTTAACAATTATGTGCCACTTTGTGTTGGTCCATCACATAAAATCCCAATAAAATACATTTATGTTTTTGGTTGTAACATGACAAAATTTGGAAAATTTCAAAGGGTATGAATATTTTTTCAAAGCACTGTATGTTCCTCATATGCAGGAGAGCTTGAATAGCAGGTTTTGCTGTTTTATTTATGGTTTCGGTAGCAGGTTTGGGTTAGCTATATGTTAAAGTCTTGATACTATATATTTCCCCGCCATGTAAAACTCACAATCTCCAGTCATAAATAAAGTGCGTAAATAGACAGACCTGAGCACCGAGGTCATTATACAGGAGTTTTAAAGCTGTTAGCTGCTCGTCCATTAGCTTTGGATTATCAGTCTGCTGCTTCTGCACGATTTGTCTTCCTGTCTTTATAACAGTCTCAACCTCCAGCTTTACTTCACTCAGGGTTTTGTACAATTTCTGCATGACAAACACAGCATATTATTTTTATCTACAAAAAAACAGGTACTTGTACAGAAAATATTCACTGCAGAATGTGAATAAAGTTCCAGGAAAGCGGCATGAAGACAGATTTGAGGCAGTTGTACTATCAGTATTTCAAAATACATTTAAAGTAGGTTTAAACCCAATTGCTAAAATCTTGCATATTTCTATTACGATATTTTAAAATCTACAGTTTTCTTTTAAATAATATGTTGTACATGGTTATCCTGTGTTATGAAGGCACTTCTGCTATAGGATGACAATGATCTGCCCCGCTTTCAAATTGTGCTCCTGCGTTGTCATTCTATCACACAGACTTCCAATGGCGACTACAAGTGGCAATTTCAAAACACATAATGCATGCATAGTGTACTGTTGTCACCATCAGGAAACCAGCCATGAGAATCCTATGCGGCCATTATTAAAGTACACGTAGACAAGTAGTGGCCGCAAAAATATGCGTAAAAAAGTGCTATAGTAACAATATTATACCTTATGTGAAATTATGTCATAAACATATATTAATACATAAAGTGAAAATGTATTCCAAACAGTCCTGGTGTTCACATTCAAGTGTACAAAAACTTCTCACTCCACAAAGTAACCATATTAAAGTGCAATGTTTATCTTCCCACCACCAGGTTTCACCACCATGCAGCAAACCACGCATAGAATGGACTCCCACCAGATATTAAGACCCTTAGATACCAATGGGCCATATCAAGCATACGGTAGTAAATACACTGCCACCAGGGGTCAAAAAAGAAAACAAAGACCATGTGATGAAACGCATTGCAAGGAAATGGCGTCAGCTGCTGGTCCAGAACTGGAAGTGGGGCATTCGCCATATTTGTTTATACCGATCTTACCATTTGTTAAAGCAGTCGCATCCCAGACTTGTGTTATCGCATTTTTAACATTAATTGGGTTTTAAATAACTATAACACTGGGCTTGGCTTTTTGCTTTCTCCTATGATAATTCTTAGAGCATTCCAGGGCAACTGATGGAAGCCTAGAGAACAGACCTGAGGGAAGGAAGGGAGTATATTTATTGCAATATGGTTGATATGACCCATTGACATCTAAGGGTCTTAATATCTGGTGGGAGAGCATTCTATGTGTGGTTTGCTGCACAGTGGTGAATCCTAATAATGGGAAGGTAAAGATTGCACTTTATTGTAGACACTTTATGAGTGAGTGAGTGAGTGAGTGAGTGAGTGAGTGAGAGAGAGAAGTTTTTTATGCACTTGAGTGTGAACACAAAGTCTACTTTCTTTGGAATACATTTGCACTTTATCTATTAATATATGTTTTTTATATTTATGATATAATTTCACATAAGGTATTCTATTATTTGTATAGTGCTGGTTTTGCTCAATACATACATTTTTACAGCCACCACCTGTGTTAGTATTACATCTACTTTAATGATTTTCTGGACAATATACTGTATTTGACTGGAATTCTGTTATAAATATAGCACAGCCACCAATCAGATTCAGATTTTCTTTTACAAGGCATATTGGTGGATGTGGGGTGACAGGACAGTCAGAACCAAAGAAACATAATAATAATGTTCTTTTTAGGCTTATTTTAAAAAGCACTTCAAAAGGTGATAAGTAAATAGTTGCAACTCATAGTAACCAATGAGATTTCAATTTACTATAGTCCAATATCTTAAAAATATAAGATTGCTTAGTATGGGTTTTTACACATAATCTTACTTATATGTTCTATCACCGCTACACTTAAACCCAAAGATAGTTTAAAACCCACATAAATCGGACAACTAAATGTAGTACTGTATAAAGATTAAGCTGTCTTACACATATTCAATGCAGCAGAATAAGACTGACCTCCAGGTTATCTCTGTTGTGTTCCCACTGCTCATGTTGAATGAAGTTGCTGACATTGTACATGAGCATTCATGCAATCCTTGACCTTTTTTTCCTCTTGACAATCTTTTGCCTCTAATAGATATCTAGACAGTGCATGAGAACCCTAACACTAGTAAACCACTATAATCCTTGTATCTTGTTCACAGACTGCACTTGTCTGGCCTTATTGTCATGCACTGCAAACAGCTAATAACCATGGTCCAAGCTTTAATAAGTATGCTTACCATGCAGCCATCCATGTGATTCTGCAAGACATCTGGATCAATATCTTTGACATCAAGTACACCAAGCTCAGCTTTCACTCCCTCTAGGACACGCTTACAGTCCAGCATCCTCTGTTCAAAGTTAGCCGGCTTCTGGAACAGCTGGAACTTTGTAGACACTTCTCGAAACTTCCTCTGCATATGGTAAAATATGTTTATTTAATTTTGTTTTAAACTCCCCACTCCTTCCAAAAACAATGGAAATATAATAAAGCACAACTACAACCAACACTTGTTATTTAGCTTTGGCTATGGCAGGGAAGCATAATGCAGTTGTCAAATTCTCATTGCTTTCTCTGTTCCTTTTGGGGAGATTTACCCTCACTTCCTTTGTGGACACTGTGACAAAAACTTAGACAATTATAGATACAAACAGCAAAGATTCTACTGCTTATCAGTTGTATTGTTGAATTTGACCTCAAGTGACAGGAATTCTCTTATATACATAAATTGCAGCATAAATGAGATGTTTTAACTCTTCCAATGGAAATACATGCTCTGATGACAACTGTATAAGAAGAGATTTCCCTTATTTGTAGGTTTGTTCCAATTTACTGTTACTACAATGAAGAGATATCTGGCCAAAGGGAAAATTACTACAGGTAGAAGAAAATGTGCATTTAGTTTGATAAATAAAGTAAAGTTGTGTTCACTTCGCATACCAAATCATATATGTAAGTCTAGATTCACACTTGACAGTGATTATGTTTATGGGACTTTAGAGAGGTGTTTTCAGGCTCAAGAGTTTTTTTTTTGACAATAGAAATGGTTACACATGTTTTTCAGGTGCTCCCATTGAAGTCCATTGGGGTACAAAATGCACAATCTGCCCCAAATAAGCTCCTGTACTTTCTTTCTGAGTGCTGAGTGCTGAGCTTAGATATGAATGGGCACAATTGAGTAACATACAAATCTGATGCTGCACATTGAAGTGCTGCTGGAAACAAACTTCAAATCGCTCAGATGTGAATTGGGGGCTAAGGTAGGGGCTGAAGCCTCACTTCAAGGATAGGTTCACCTCTGGGAACATGTTACATGTTCCACCCGTTTTTAACATGTTCCCTCTCCTATAGCGGCTCAATGATCCAAGCCCTTTGTTTGTGTGAAAGCGGTATGGGGAGAAGTTCTCTGTACCAGCTTTCAGCTTTTAGGTTTTGAAAAGAGTGTGGCTGAGCGGGGATTAGCCCACACAGCCGCGTCATTCATTCACAGATTTCTGTGAATGAATAAACTACAAATAGAGACATCCTTAGCAGATATCAGTTTTTAGTTCTAAATGAACTACCATTGTGTTGTTGAGCTCTGTGGTAGTTCACCGAGTCTCCTGTCAGTGTGAAACTGCCTGTATGAGGTAAGGACAGACAGCCTACACTGACAGTCTGCAGGAGACCTGCATGGCACCAGCGATCTGCTGATCGTTGGTGCAATTCTTTGCAGGCTCCTAAAAAAAAACCCACCCGTTTTTAACATGTTCCCTCTCCTATAGCGGCTCAATGATCCAAGCCCTTTGTGTGAAAGCGGTATGGGGAGAAGTTCTCTGTACCAGCTTTCAGCTTTTAGGTTTTGAAAAGAGTGTGGCTGAGCGGGGATTAGCCCACACAGCCGCGTCATTCATTCACAGATTTCTGTGAATGAATAAACTACAAATAGAGACATCCTTAGCAGATATCAGTTTTTAGTTCTAAATGAACTACCATTGTGTTGTTGAGCTCTGTGGTAGTTCACCGAGTCTCCTGTCAGTGTGAAACTGCCTGTATGAGGTAAGGACAGACAGCCTACACTGACAGTCTGCAGGAGACCTGCATGGCACCAGCGATCTGCTGATCGTTGGTGCAATTCTTTGCAGGCTCCTAAAAAAAAAACCCAGCAAAAATGTCTGCAAAAAATGTGTATTTATTTTTTATTTTTTTTTAAAGATGAACTTATCCTTTAATTCACTTAACTAAATCAACCTCCACTATACCTTTAGTAAATCGACCCAAGTTTGGGACACTGTGTCACATGTGAATTATGTCATTGAAAGACCTTCAAGTTACAATCCTAAATTTACTGTTTGAAAAGTAGGCTTTTCAGTAGGTGGCTTAGACTGATTTAAATTTATAAAGGAGTAAAGGAAATTTTTACTTTGTAAAATGAACAGCCAGAAAATGGTACCCAACATCTTAGATCGTTTTTCTACACAGTATAGATTGGATTCAGGCCTTATTTACTATATAAAACCTAAAGAAAATGGGAGATGTTGTCTCTAACATGAAAACAGACTACAGCTGTCATCCCAGAGCAGCTTAGGAAAAAAAAGCCATCTGATTGAAGTTGTAGGTCTGTTCTTTTCCTTTTTATACCCACACCAAACCCTGGTTTAAAAACAGAATCTATTCATGTATTCTTAACTCAAATAAGTACCTTCTACTGCTCTCCTCCAAATTCCTTTATGTTTCTGCTGTAATCTGACTTCCACTTTGAGGGTGGCTATATGCCCATATATAGTGAGACCATAAAGAACAAACATAGGCACCCTCTGAGTGGAAGTCAGATCACAGCAGGAAAAAAGGAATTTGGAGGAGGCTGAGAGGATGGAGGATGAACTACGGACTATGGGATTTGTTGTAGATTGCACAGAGCAGTACAAATGACCGCAACTAACATGCATTGCTCGTTTCAAACAAACAGAAGTCGGGATAAAGGGAGAGGTTAAGGTGCTCATGTAGGACACTAGGTGGCAGAAAAACACAATAAGAAACCATTTAATGAAAAATAGATCACAGGGCTATTAAAGTGATTCTAAAGGAAATATTGTTTTAAATACATACATTATTATTATTATACAGTATTTATAAAGCACCAATAGTTCACTCAGCGCTGTACATTACAAAGGGGGACAGAACATGTGACAGAACAACAACAATACAATGCAAAACATGAGGGGATCGAGGGCCCTGCTCTTTCGAGCTTACAATCTAGGAGAATACATGTTATACTTACCTGCTCTCTGCAATGGTTTTGCACAGAGACGCCTCAATCCTCTTGTTTTGGGTCCTCCGCTGGTGGTCCTGGCTCTTCCCCCCTATGAGTACCCCCAATAACAAGCCTCTTGCTATGGGGGAACTCAAGCAGGCTTGTTCCTGAGCCGTGCTTTGCGTGTCCATTCAAACACAGAGAGCGGCTCAGCCCTGCCCCCCCCCCCGCTCTCCCTGCATTGGCTCACTGGCTGTGATTGACAGCAGTAGGAGCCAATGGCTCCCACTGCTGTGTGAGTCAATGAGGAGAGATACCCGGGAAATCGGCTGCTCTCATGCACATCTATGGATCAAGATGGGGCTCAGGTAAGTATAAGGTGGGCTGGGGGGGAGCTGCATCCAGAAAGTTTTTTACCTTAATGCATAGAATGCATTAAGATAAAAAAAACTTGATCCTTAGATCCACTTTAAGTAGTGGATATGCATGGATTTATGTATGGTCAGCACAGTGGTCAAATGGTTAGCACTTCCTAGCAGCACTAGGGTCATCGCTTAAATCCCAACCACGACACTACCTGCCTGGAGTTTGCATGTTCTGTGCCTGTGAATTTTCTCCAGGTACTCCAGTTTCCTCCCAAATTCCAATAACATGCTGGAACGTCAATTGACTCCTGTCTAAATTGTCCCTAATATGTGTATGTATGAATGTGAATTAGAGACCTTAGATTGTAAGCTCCCTGAGGGCAGGGACTGATGTGAATGTACAATATATATGTAAAGCACTGGGCAAAATGACAGTGCTATACAAGTACCTGTAATAAATGACAATGTTAAGAGTCACTTTGAAGCCTACTATGTATTACACGGTGGACTAACAACATGTTACAACAGTCAAGCAGCAGAAGCCATAAAACATTATTACCTGAACAACATCCAGTTGTGATCCTCCTCGAGTGGGTTTAACATCTGGGCTGGACAGAATCACAGGTCGTGCAATTTTCTTCAGTTCCTCCAATGTTGCTTCATGGCTACTTATATCAGCTTGAATTTTCTGAAAAGAGTAGAAAGCAGACCATTATTCGCTAATGTATGTTTTATAGAAATCATTCAGTCTGTATGCTAACTTGAAGCAGAAAATTAACTGCTTCTTTATTACTGGGAATAAAGCCTTGAGATTTTGTCATGTTCTTCCCAGAGTCTTGTGATTCCTGGGAGTGGTCTGCACACATTACTGTATCACAACAAATTATCCTATTTTGAGATACAGCATTTAGGAAAAAATCAGGAAAGACATTTTAAGATATTCAAAGGAAGATTTACTGTCAAATCTAAAAAGATAATACTTCTGCTGTTTGTTTTTTTCCCTGTGTGTCATTTTGGGTAGATTTCCCCTTAACTTCTGTCTTAGAGACATGAGAGGAAGAAAGCAGAAATTTCTCATAGGGACCAGTGTGCTGTGATAATGCATGTTGGTGCACTGAGTTTGCCATTCAGTTTAACCACTTGCCCTCCTGAGGATTTACCCCCCCCCCCCCCCCCCCCGTAATGACCAGGCCTCTTTTTGCTACTCGGCGCTGCTCTAATTCAACTGATAATTGCGCGGCCATGCAATGCTGCACCCCAACAAAATTTACATACTTTTTTTCAAACAAATAGAACTTTCGTTCGGTGGTGTTTGATCACCTGTGCGCTTTTTATTTTTCACGCTATAAACAATAAAAGACCCAATTATTTTGAAGAAAAACAATATTTTTTACTTTCAGCTATAAAAATTATATAGTAAACTCAAAGTACACCTGCACTTTGGTGTACTGCAGAAAATGCTACATGCACAATTTATGGCTTGTTGTGGTGCATCAGGTAGTCAAATAAAGCACATTACCGCACAACACATTATGCATTTAAGACACTGCAGGCTGTTTTTAATGGGTCCTTTATGGTGGGATGTCCCCAGTGATTACCTCTCATTGCCAACATTTTACAAAGTGAATCTTCAAATCCAGGTCCCCTGCTTTTGGGATACCCTGCTCTGATGACAGCAGCCTTACCAGAGCTACTGTGCCTAATTGCAATCTGACTGATCTACTGATAATTTTAATACAGCGCCCCATTTTTACTTGTTCCTGTTATGTTGACTCTTTTCCCTTCACCTCCTGTGTTATAGTTTTTCCCTTAGCTGTTATGCAAAATGTTGGTTTTCCAATCACTTTCTGTCCTGATGACAAAGATGATGAGATTAGAGAGGATGAATCTCCCCAGCAGAATGTAAGAATGATGTATATACTTACCTATTTTCAAGCTGTAAATGTCACATGATCCCCTGTGTCAGCCAATGGCGGCTGCAGGGGAGAGGAGAGAGAGCTCGACAATGGCTGGAATGCCTGGGAGTGGTGACATTACCCATAGGCTCCTATGACCCCTCCATTTTTGGTACTCCTTCCGCTTCCTTGCAGCCACTGTTGACACAGGGAAGCTGGATCACATGACCAGACCAGAGTGGCCTGAAAACAGGTAAGTACAGTTGTGTTCAAAAGTTTGCATACCCTGGCAGAAATTGTGAAATTGTGGCATTGATACTGAAAATATGACTGGACATGCCAAAAAACTTCTTTTATTTAAGCACAGTAATCATTTGAAGCCATTTATTATCAAATAGTTGTTTGGCTAATTTTTAAATCATAATGATTTTAAGAAAAGCCTGGTAAGACATTCAAGGTATTGTCAAGCATACTGTAACCAGGATATTTAGAGACATTGGAGCAGTAAAGACTTCTTTCTGGCAAATCGACCATGCAACTCATTTTTGTACGTCGCACTGTGCTCTTTGAAACAACCACACCCTCTTTTTCCAGAGCAGCCTGTATTTCTCCTTAGGTTAACTGTGGTTTTTCTTTGTATCCCGAACAATTCTTCTGGCAGTTGCGGCTGCAATCTTTCTTGGTCTACCTGACCTTGGCTCGGTATCAAGAGATCCCTGAATTCTTTTCCATCTTTACAAAGTTCCATTACCTTCTTACACAGGTCTTTTGACAGTTCTTTTCTGCTCCCCATGGTTCAGTATCTAGCCTGCTTAGTAAATCCACGTGAGAGCTAACAAACTATTTATACACAGACACTAATTGTAAATTAAAAAGAAACGCCACAGATGTTCGAAAATAACCTTTAATTGCCATTTTAAAATGTGAGTGTCACCTTGTGTGTCTGTATAAAGGTCAAACATTCCAGGGTATGTAAACTTTTGACCAGGGTCATTTGGGTGATTTCTGTTATCATTATGATTTAAAAAGGAGCCAAACAACTATGTGATGATAAATGGATTCATATGATCACTATAATTAAATAAAAGCCTTTCTGCCAGGGTATGCAAATGTTTGAGCACAACTGTATATACATCTTACTTACACAGGTTTAGTCAGCATTGGTGTTAGGAGGTAGCATTTTTAATATTAGTTAGGTTTATCCTAGAATTCAACTTTAAGCCCCTGAAATGCGTTGACTGTTCTGTGTAGTCTCTTTGTGAACACATGTCAATATTAAAAGCTTTTGGACTCTCAAACCTTTTGTTTGGCACTCTCAGTGCACATGAAATGTCAAATCTGGGCTCCCTGCTTTTGGGACATCCTGCTTTGATGACAGCAGCCTTACCAGAGCCACTGTGCCTAATTGCAATCTGATTGATTTACTGACAATTCTAATCCAGCGCCTCATTTTTACTTGTCCCAGTAATAAAACACTGCCAGGGGTTCTAACTATAATTGTCTGTAATTGGGCTGTAAACCATTCCATTCTAAAATCCTGGTATGCAAAATAAAGCATATAAAGCTGACCACAGACATTGCGATTTTCTTTTCTGCAAGCATGGGTGTTGGCAAGCACTGACTGTGTTGAACAGGGAATTCCTACCGCGGAGCCATTGTGGTCTCCTGGTGGGGGGAGATTTCCCCATCAGGAGACCACAATGGTTTCACAGGAGGGATTCCCCCATCCACACAGTGATTACTGCTAGCGCCTATAATAGACACTAGCAATAATTGCATGTCAAAGCAGACAAAGTGGTTGTACCAAATTTTATTGATCGATCAACTTGGGTACATTCAGCCTGTCCATGCATAGTTCAAATCTCGGCAGGTCCCTGCTGAATTGGCCGTAGTGTTTTCGAACGTCTATGGCCAGCTTAAGATAAATTTAGTAAACTTTGAAGATCTGTGATAACCTAGTTAGATAATGCATGGAAGGTATTTATCCCAAACACTGTATGCTTTTTTGTGTAAGATTTTCTGCCTGAGCTAACACAGGGAGATTTCCCACACACTGGGGCTGACAAACTGAACTGAAAGGCAAACAATGATGGCGATGTGGGGTGTTGGAAGTATAATCTTTCATGCAAGCTTTATAACATCCAACCAAACTCTTCATAGACATTCCTTAAGCCCACACATAATCATAACAATCATGTTAAACTATGCCATGTATAGTCATACACAGAATTGTTAGATTCTCACAAGTACTGCTGTTACCCACTTCTAATTCCGCTTCTGTGAAATTGATCATTCTGTTTATTATAATTAATACAATGCTATAAGTGAGGATTTGGGTGATTAGATTACAGTTGAATAGGAGAAACCATGAAAATCTTTGCTGAGATACCTGAGCCTCCTGTGGCATTCGCAGAGCATCCACTCTATCGGTCAGGTACGTGGTCAGTTGTTTATCCAGCTCTTCCAGGGACTCTTGTAGTGTTTGTAACATGTGATCACTCTCACGAAGGGTCTGCAGGTGCTGCTCTAAAGTGATCTGTCTCGTCACAGCCTGAAAAGATACAATCTGATTGAAACTCCTATTCATCTTCATGGATTTAGCACAGCAACTTCTGATGTCACTTTGCCTTTACCAATACTTCATTTCATTTTCATTTCATGCTAAGAAAGTGACTATCAGGTCCTTGCTTGTGAAAGTATGTTTTGTTCCTGTGAATAAGTTACTGTGCAGAAAATATCAAAATACGTAGTGTGATTGTGTGTGTGTGTATGCATGGGCTTGTGAATGTTCTATATTCATTTTCAAGCTGCAGAACCAATGTCATGTACTCGAAAACATATTCACGTTCAGAAAATAAGGAATGAAATTCATCAGATTTAACCCTTTAGCTGCCTCCAACATAAGGGAAATGGAGGAACAGCACCGCTTGCAGTTGGCCGTCTCAGTACACCGTTGGCTGCATTCTCTCTTCTGCAATAAACTCAAAGTCGCTTCAGCAACTATGAACTTATATAGGAAGTGATCTCCTAGCTCTTCTGATTTCACAAGCCAGTGATCATTTGTCCTATTCCTTCAATATGCGAGTCCATAGTTGGAGACCCTAATCTAATCTAGTCTGATTAAAATGTTTCCTGCATACAGAATGAACACAAGAGCACTCTGTATAGAGCATTTCTGTGTTGATGACAGAGTGCAGGGCTGCAGGGGAGAGGGAGCTTAAAGTCTCTGTATGATCAATCTTGTTCTCTATCTGAAAAGTGAACAGTATGTGTTGATGTACAGCAGGCCTGTTTTCAAACCAGTGCATTATGGTGCACCTATTGTATGTGCTTATGTTTGTTGTGCACCTGCGCTCCTATGCATTTTTACAGCACATCACAGTGCTTGATTTTGTTCAACCTTTTAGAAAATTACATTCATTCAACACAATGCATAGCAATGCATTCCGCACATTGTAACACGATCCACTGCAAAAAAAATGTTTTGTCTGCATCATTTTATCGCAAGTCACACCAATGCAGTGCACAGATGGCACTGTGGATTGGGCATTACCACAACACATAGGTGTGAGGCTATCCTCCAGATTTTTACCATTATTTGCTTACCGGTATTACATTTTTGTGTACCTTCATCGTTTTGCAAAAAGGGCACAATCCCTTCTAGATTGTAAGCTCCAAGGAGCAGGGCCCTCGAACCCCTCGTGTATTGTATTGTTACTGTATTGTCTCATGTACTGTTTCCCACTATAATGTACAGCGCTGAGCAAACTTTTTGGCGCTATACAAATACTGTATAAATATATATAATAATATTAAAATGTATATATATCTGCCATTTATTAACTCCAAATTATATCTTTGAGATTTAGTAGGAATTTTAGGAGATATGCTGTGTTTGCATGCAATAATAACGATTTTTGTATGTTTTTCAAAAAAATATTAATTGGATTGATTGTTTGCACCATCTTTTTTATTCTACTGCATGCTTTCAAAAAATGCATGGTTTGGGTAGTCTTTTATATTCTCTGAAAGCTGTATGTCAGAGGTGTCAAACTGGCAGCCCTCCAGCTGTTGCAAAACTACAAGTCCCATCATGCCTCTGCCTTTGGGAGTCATGCTAGTAACTGTCAATCTTGCAATGCTTCATGGGACTTGTAGTTTGGCAACAGCTGGAGGGCTGCCAGTTTGACACCTGTGCTGTTAGTGAAAAAACTATTTAAAAAAAAGAGAACTGCAAAAATGGTGTGGATACTTAAGGTTAAAAGTGGAGTGCAGGGTCTGGCAGCAAAAGCCCAACTTTAGCCAAAACTTTTATTTTTGTTTTCGATAGATTGAGGAAGCACTTTTTATTGTCATATGTATCTTTATAGAGATTTCCCACCCTCACTTCCAGTCAATAAAGAAAAATAAGGTGTAAACAGACAAAAAAAACAAAAACCGCTTTTAGAACAGGGCAAAAGGGTTAGAACGTCTGACAAATATTTTGTTATTGTCATGGTGACAACTGCATTAATTTCTTATATATATGGCCATCACAGGGACAGGAAGTGGAGGAAATTCCCCTCATTGGCTTTACAGCTAATATCAAAACGTTAAAGCAATGTAACTTCACTAATCTATCCAAAACTAAATAAACCTTTTTAACTGGAGTTAGGCATTAACCTCTAACCACCTAACGCATATGTGCAGTGGCAAAGAGGGTGTCCATGCGCCGCACATTTGCGTCCATGTCGTCCAAGGTTTCTGTGCAGAGAACGATTTTTTATTTTTACCAGATTTCTTCCAGCTTTATTAGTACGTAGTGCAAAGGGCAATGATTATACATAAATAACACTGCTCTAACACATACAACACTTAAACATTTTGTTTCCTCTCCTTCTTATATCAGAATAAAGTAGATATGACTTGTATCTATACATAATACCAAGAAATCTCAGCAGTTAATATATAAAGGAGTTAATCTGACAGGCTATGTACACCCTGAATACTATACCCTTCGATATTCTTGGTATTAATGCAAAGTAATACAGGACATTATCTGCCAAATCTGCAGTTCAGTCCATGGTACCAGTAAACAAATACAGAGAGTACAGATACAAAAAGCCTGACAAATTTGCTCCCTTACAAAAAAAAGCATAAAAAGTGCCTGATAGAAAATGTGGTGTTTTCTTGGGACTGTAAAAGTGATGATGTGTAAGGTGCAATCACCAGAAACCGATATGATTTTACCATTTATTTAACACATTTTGAATCTAAAATATAATTGCTAATAGGTTGCTGTGGGTTATTGAACACTTCTCTTCATCTTTATAAATAACCCTGTATGTATTATAAAACTGTATCCTTAGGACAGAATTTACGGTGGATTCTTCCATAGCATCAAACATCCTGTATGTAAGAAAAGAAGACAGGAAGACCTAGTATGAGGCACATAGCTGATGATTTTCTATTTCAGTACTTACTAAATGACTTAGCTCTTCATAACGAGCATTAAATACTTCTAGCTTCTCACTGATGATGTCATCAAGGATTCCACCATCAATCAAGGTCTGGCCAAGTTCACGGATCTGTGTTCTGTTGTCTGCAGGATGTCGCAGGACTGACTCTAAAGACTGAATGGTTGCAGGTAAAATCAAAACACTTTCACTAAAATTATATTTACACTAACAATGTATATGTTACTTTCATGTCTGACACTGAAATGGGATACATGTTTTCAAGCTAGCTTTCGCTATTTTACAAAAAACTAATATTCAAACATTAAATGTACTTCAACAAGAAACCCTACATAAAACGGTTTATGTAGTAATACATTTTTAGCCTTGCTGAGGATAGCGTAAATTGGGGCTGATTTACTTAAGAAATAAAGCATGTTCACTTTGTAAAGTTTCCCTTTACAAAGGAGAAGCTGTGTTCAGTTTAATCATCCAATCATAATCATCCAATCATATATAAGCAAACTTAAATAATTTTCCTTGCTCATGATTTGGTACTGAAAGTGAACACAGCTTCACCTCAATTTATTACCCAGGTAGGTAAACAAACTTTAAAATGGGAACAATTACTTTGCTAAGTGAACAGCCTCTACCATTCAACCCCATTTTATCTATATTAGTTTAGCATTTCAGACCATCTTACATTTCTCTTAACGGTTACACCATCTCATTCCCCCTAAAGGCCTATTTCACAGGATCTTTGGTTTTCATACCTGGCAATTAGGGCCTGCTAGCTGAAGATAGTCATATGCTAGCTGAATTTATCATTGCAGAAAGCTACCAGTCATGGGTAGTGACAAAAAGGAAAATTTTTAATGTCACCATGTTAAATGATGCTTCAAATTTTTGTTTTTTGTATTTGTGTGAAGACAATGGGAAAAAGTATTGTTTTTAAAAGTTACTGCTGTAGTTAAACTGGACTTTACCCCTGGTTCACATATCCGCATTCCAGCGGTCCATGTTTTGCGTGGGCACGAGAGCCCATTCATTTGAATAGACTCCAGTGCCCCGGGACACGCAGGAAAGAAGTCCCTGCACTTCTTCGGAAAACGCAGCCCGCACTGGAACCTCGGTTCCCAGTACGATTGCGATTTCCAGTGCGGGCATTAGCATTAATGGCACCCATCCGCAGGTCCACATTCCTCTGTGTGGGTGCACGGCTTTTTGTGCGGATCCGCAATGGCACCACCCGCACAGATGTGAACCTAGCCTTAATGAGCAACAGCTGCAAAGGTATTAGAAAAATTATTCAACAAAGAAACAAACAGAACTCTCTTATTGCTTTAGCTGTCCAAAGAAGGACAATATTTGAGGCAGAGAGCAAAAAATATTAAATTATCAATTATCAAGCACAGAAATTGGTCTACTAACTTGTATGAACTTATTTTGCATCACATTTGTCATTTCCGTCAGAAGCAAAGGAGTATACCATCTATCTTTAACATGAGTTAAACAATAATGCCTCTTTCACATGGGCATTCCGATCAGGTCTGCTGTCAGTTTTCAGCTACCTAATTGAAGGGTCCATACATTCCCATGGACAGGCGGGTTTAAACGGACTTGTGTCCATTTACACCCGCCTACCTCAGATCCAGTTCACAAACAAAAACCTAAAGGGATCCTCTTCTGTTTAGACAGATTGGATCAGAGGGTAGTCAGGTGTAAATGGACAGCAGAATCTGTTTACTCCCGGTCGCCCATAGAGCAAAGCGGGCCCTGTCCATGGTCGCTCTTCAGAAACTGAGCTTACACGGATGTGTCAACCGCTTGCTTTGCTCCAAATAGCAGAGGATCTGTGCTCTGATCCCCTGCTGATCGTAATGGAATCTGCTCCGTGTAAAAGAGGCCTCATAATACAAGGCTCCAGCAAGGTTCAAAACAACACTGCTTGGTTTGAAACAACTTGTTGTCATGTTCAGAGGAAAGCATTTACAAAAATCTGAATTTAGGGGTCAGTAATACCTGAGATCGATAGGTTGGTGAGATGGTTTGATGGGAT